GTATCATAGTTGGTACGACCAACTCATTTTATAGAGCTAACCATTAATAATTCAGTCAACAGAACCTTTAGTTAAGGACCTTCAGCATGCATAAACCTCTGCAACTTTATGATTCCCCGTGGTGCATTTGAGTTTTGTTTAAATACGAGGCCTTTGAGCAATCATATCTCAGCGTCCTCTCTGGTGACATCATCTGTTGTAGCTTGGCAGTCGCGTTTGTTGCTCTCTACAGGCACGCAGCACTGATTCACTACTTGGCATTTGCATTTTTGAAATGTGAAGTTTATTATTTCTAACACTATGAATTGGTCTCTGTTTTGGAAAATTAGGACAAGATGGTGTAATTCATGATGTGTTAAATAGATTTCAGGATGTTTTATTATCCTCGCTCGCATATAGTCTGTCTTTCTGATGAAGTACGGGAGTAACACATTTGAAACAGAGACCACAATATGAATATTCCATCTTACTATAACCACTAGTCCAGTGAAAGCTAGAGTAGTCATAGATTGTTGAGGTGCCAAGAAAACTGGTAAAATCCCCATTTTAGTTCTTTTTACATGCTGAAAGGACAACACACTGGCAGTTTGGGATGCTGGTGAAGTCACTCTGATTAGTACAACACCCTCTCTTTTTCTTTTCTTTTTTTTATTCATCCTCTCTGAAGAAAGCTACTGACAAATGATCTAAATTGACATATGAACTACATTGTGGCTGGATCTAGGATTGTGATCTGTGATGGACTGGTGACCCATCCAGGGGGTTCCTCATGCCTTAAAACAGCTGGGATAGACTACAGATTCCCTATCTATCACTGAATAGGGATTAGAAAATGAAGGGATGGATGATTTATTGTTTAGGTCTCAAGAAAGAAACCTCTCATCGGATTCCAGGATAATTCAAGCAAGTGTAAATTCTTGAACCGAACTTGCAGAACTGTTTACGATTGTGTGTTCTGTGTTTCGAATGCCGTTTTTGTGCATTCAGGGGAAAAATAAAGTGATGAAATAGGGCGAAGCATTCCGGTCTCCTTTTCTTCTAACTTATCATTTTGATATATGGTGATGGGGAAAATAATTTGGCACAGAGAGTAACTGGTGTTTAATTAGTGCACTATTTTACCTTCTCTTGAGAAACTTTGGGACTGACAACAAGCTGGCTACACAGCAACACTGGAGTCCCACAGAAGCAATAAGCAAAGGTAAGAAGAAAAGGCATGGAGGAACTGAGCAAAGCAATGAATCACTGTGTTGTCAGTGAGTGAAGTCATTGAGCTGAAGGATGCGATTCTCTGGGCTCCAAGTATTCGGGGTGTTTCTCACTTACACAGCTCAGGTACAATTTTATTCTCTCTCCTTTGCTGGCTGTTGTTATTTTGCATTGTCCCTTAAGTGAATGACAGGGATTGATTGCACTTTTGAGTTGAGTCTATTGGCTCCATTTATGTTCAACCTGATTGATTAGTCACAGAAAAATAACCAAATCTAAGAGGGAACTTAAACCTTCTGCCAAATAAACTTCTTTAAACATCAGTATTTATAGTAATCACTCTTTCACAGTACCTGTAAAAGATACCTCATTCAGGAGGAAAGGTTACACTGAACTGAAAACACCGGCAGGTCCAAGAAAGTCAGGCTCAATGATAATGAAAGCTGCTGCTCCATGGAATAACTATCAGATGTCACACTGACTTCTTCCATAATGATTCTTTGTCCACATTTGAAATTTGCTTGCTCCTTTGACACCACAACACAGAACGGTTGCATTACAGTGGCAAAGAAATTGCCAACATGGAGAGTGCACCATCATACTGTATCTTTGTTTCGGAAATGGCTTTTTTCCCCCGTTCAGTGACAGCAGTGATTTGATTTTACAGTTGAGTAGTATATGCTGCAGAGCACATATTGGCTCGGTTTCATTCTCACTACCAGCTGGCAGATGTTCTGTGAGAACCTCGAATGATGTCCTCTGTCTGTCTTTGCAGGTTTTAAGGAAAATATCTCTATTTCCATCAGCCACGGGTCCTCCCCTTTCATGTTCCCTGCCTAATAAGCCATTGGTCTGTGTGGATGGACATCGTACTGAAATCACGGGTAACGAGAGCACTTCTTTGAAGAAAGGTTTCTTTTGAATAGAGGTGACACAAAGATATGTTTCTCAGTCCTAAAACTGTAGTAGAGAGAAGGAGGCTCCAAAAACCTCAGTAACGGAGTGATTTAAAGGCTTAACATAGATTTGATATTTAGTGGGTGACAGTTATTTCTGTCAGACCAATTTAGCCCAAAGAGGATTGTTGTTCCTTCAGCAGTAATATATATTTTGAAGTATAGCCCTGTTCTGGGAACTCCCCGCCCTTTCGTGTGCATATGTGGAAAACCTAAAAGCAGGGAAAGCACCAGCAAGACCGCTGCACATACCCGAGTAGGCATCAGCAGGAATTTTATCAAGAGTCAAGCAGCTTTAGTGGTATGCCCTGTATAAAAGTTGCCAATAAGATAAGCAGAAGAGAATCAGTTCATCTGTTGGATTTAACACAGAATTATTGTTCAATTTCAACCTGGATAGAAGTTACCATTTATATTAGAGTATAGCTGGAGACTCTCTTTCAGAAGAGTTTGGTATTTAAGTAGAATCTCTGCAGATTCTACTTTGGTATTTAAGTAGAATCTCTGCAGTTCCTGGGAGGTCCCTCCGATGGGATCTTTTACATTTTCTTGTAATCGTGTTTCGTCTTTTCCATTTACTCTCGAAGTTGCTTTGCTGTGGGCTAACAGGTTCAGGGAAAATACTAGTGACAATGTTTACACAAAGTCTAACTTGTTAATTTGCAATTTCTTGCCCATTTTTTCCTAAAATAAATGTTGCTTCTGCTGTTTTTGCTTCTGCTCCAGACTACCTGCCAATGTGAATACTGAGTTTTCATAATATGTCAATGCAAAAATCTACTAGCAGGATATCAGTTGTAGTGCATACCATTAAAATGCACAAGGAGAGACACACAAAGATAAAGATACCATTAGCTTAAAGGCTTAAATTATTGTTATATTCCAGCACCAAGCAAAAGTATAAAAAACAACCCAACATTCATACATTTACTGAAACTGAAAAAAGGCCATTTGTATTGTTATAGCTGTTAGAGCTGTTTTTGTATCCTCTCCCTCTTTCCTTGGTGGCTTCTTTGCTTCACCCTCACCTGTCTAAATGTCATCTGTAACAAGGCAGACAAAGGTTGCATGTTTTGAAAGAGCCTACAAGCACTGATCTATGAGTCTTTGCCACAATAGACACTATATTGAGAGTAAGAGTCACATCTGTTGCCTGGATTCTGGGAGAAACTCATTGCTGCTTCTCTTATTATAGGTTGAGTCTTCAGGGCAGCCCATAACAAAGTACCCCCCTTACTTGAAATGCAATGAAAAGGTTTCTGTGGTCATGTGATAGGGGTTTGATGTTTGTTATTTACAACTGCTGTACAGGTATCCAAAGATAAGTAAAAAAATCACCCAAAATACTTAAGTATGCACAGTCTCTTACACTATATCACGCAGCTGTCTCCACACAACCTCATACACTTTACTTGTGCTTGCATGTGCATGTTTTCACATATCACTGTGCAAGCAGTTCTCGTAGCTACTGCCCGTCGTCGTCAAGGCCTGTATTGATTTTTCACACCATTGATTTTACTGGGCGAAATGGCTCATCAGGTACACAAGGTGAGAAACTATTTTTGGTGGCTTTGTTGCTGTCGAACATGCGTGTAATGGAGGTGTTAGAAATATACATTGCGCTGCTGTCTGTAAATGCCAAATATGCAAAAACCGTTACGTAGAAATTGTGTGTTTTCAGTGTGCTGGTAAAGCTTTTTTTAATTGACAAATCCAGACAACAACACAGAAGAATCCTCTGCAGAGAGCCCCCTTCCACAATCAGCCCAGTTCTCACACACATACCCCACGGCTTATTCTATCTATCCATCGACAAGCTTGATCTTTCCACCAGCAAGCCAATCTGGCCTGCTCCGTGGCTGAATGTGTGAATCTGCGATGGGAGAGATAATACTCGACTGTTTGTTTGGGTTTTCTGGACCAATAGATGAGAGCACTGATTGAAAGGCAATGTGGGGATGAGGCAAAACATCTAATCCTTTTTTGTGATTTAAAAAAAAAAAAAAAAGAGGCCTACTTCCCTTTCTGCCTAATGCAACAATCTTTGATCCTTCTACTCAGATAATCCACAGACTAGTTTTCATACAAGTAGCTCAGTTTAGATTTATTAATAGCTCACTTAATTCTATTGGGATCCGTTTCTTCTGAGCATAAATCATTTGTTCCACACCTCCTCTGCTGGCCTGTCGTGCTTTACAGTAGATCCATCTGCACTTGAGCAGGATTATGAAACAATCCCCTGGTGACACTGACTGTGCTGCCCATTGATGCTGCCCCCACCCTCCAACCTGCTCTTTTCAGCTCCATCCACTGTGGCTAATTCTGCCTGCCTGATCCCCTGGGCGTAATTGATCTTCATATCATTAGCTGTATGTGGATCTATCTTGGGAGACGCCCACTGTTTGACTGCAAGTCAAAGTCATCCCTCATTTAAGCATATGTATGTCGCAGCGAGCTCTTTGATTGTGCCTCCATCGCAGGTCTTCATGCAGGAATGGTTGTAATGTAAACTATTATGTTATCAGCTTTGGGCCTGCCTAGAGATAGAGGCTCACTGACTGTTTAGTCTAAACATGTGGAGGCGGAAAAAATGGAGCTCAGCAGCGCGTTCTTCCCTCGCGACAATAAGGGGACGCTTGGGCCCCAGGAGGAAGGGTGTCGAGGGTCTGTGTGTGAGCAGCCTCCTGGGTGTCCTCAGATCTCACATCTGGCTGATCGGGGAGGAAGAAGTGGCCTTGCTGCTTACTCGCACCTCCTCTCCACGCTGCCACCACCACCACCACCACCACCACCGAGCTCACTCCCTGTCTTTCTCTGTGTGCTCCTCTTCTGCAGATGGTGGGAGCGAGGACTTGGCAGACCCCCGCTCGCCCAGTCTAGACCCTCACCTGAGCCACATCGGCCAAGGTAAGCAACCGAATCTCCAAAGAGAAGTTTTCTTTAAACTCGAGATAGAGACAAGTTTGCAGTCTTGACAGGAAACGTTATGCCTTCCACAGCACCTGCTCTTCTCACCTCTTGCTTTTATGTGCTCGCGGTGTGTATAGTATGTGCGAATGAGAAGCTGAGTTGCTGAAAACAAACGTGAGCTCTTTTCTCGTCCCCCATATTTCCTCCCTATTGGGTCTTTCCAGAAGCTATTTCTGCCCCCTTAATGTTTTCATGAAGCCTTGTTTGCTGGACCGCATTTATTCCGTTTTCTAACAGCAAGTTTATGACTACTGGAAATGAAGTTATATTTACAGGGAGGGCAAGTGTATGAATTTTATATTCTTGTAATTTTGCCTGTAAATCTGAGTAATTTCAAGGGGAAATAGGCTTGTATATATGACATTAGATGGTACCAACAGCGAGAATGTCTGTGCTTGGCAGAAACTGTTTGGGGCAGTTTGTTTTTTTCCACCTCATACATATTTTGAACTGAACACCTTGATGAGTAGGTGGTTCTGTTTATTTCGAGGCATGGAGTGGTCCTTGTACACGACTCTTATTGCAGTCTAAAATGAAACACGGTAATTTCCCCTTCACTGCTTTTGTTCTGTGGATTTCACCACTGAAGTGCGGCTGGTGCTCCCTCTCTGCCCTTCTCATTTTTGACCTGAATGAGACCATTTAATATCTTTCTCAGGATTATCATAATTTTCAATGAGGCTTTCCAGAATTAAATGGACTAATTGATGAGATTTGGGCCTTTTCCACCACAAGAATGTTGGCTAAAACTACGAGTATTTGGATGAAAAGTGCATTTCAACTTCTTGGACCGGTGTCCCTATTACAGGGACATTATTTTACGCTCCACAGAGCCCCTTCATAGTGGGAGGGTCATACTTACTGCATTGCAAATAAGCTCCTGCATACTACACACCATGAAAAATACATTTATTTGAAACAGTGTTGAATTTAGTAAAACTTTATTTTCATTAGTGTAGGTCTTGTGCTATTCAAATGTATACCTGCAGGATCACCCAGACATGTAACCTCTGGGGAACATTTTGAGACTAAAGGTTAACTGCAACATTTTTCAATAATTATCTATACATTAGGTGTAATTTTTAGGAAGGATACATTAAAGTGGTGCAGTGAGTACTGTCAGCACAGTAAGAAGACTCTGGGGTTTGCAAGGCCTGCTGGTCTTTATGTATTCTGGTTGCCTTCCAGAGTCCAGAGGCATGCATGTTAAGTTAATTGATGATTCTAAATAGACTGTAGGTTCAAATGTGATTAATGGTTAATGGTGTCTCTGTTAGCCCTACAGTGGATTGGTTACCAACCTCTCACCTGGCATTGGCTAGGATAGCAGCTGAGAAAATAGATGGACGTTAATAATTGTCTATTTCTGTCTTTATTTAATTTATTAATTAATTTTTTAAATAATATGACCTGCTGTAAAGAGTGCACTAACTTCTCATATAAGATAGTCCTTCTGTGTCATTAACCTCTGATAAGTTATACTATATTTCTAATAAATACATTGTTGCAGGTTAGAAAGTGTGCAGGAATCAGGTTTTGTCTCATCTTCTATGGGGTATGGAACTCCAGGCCTCGAGAGTCTGTGTCCTGCAGGTTTTTGATCTCACCCTGGGTCAACACGCCTGAATCGAATGATTAGTTCATTACCAGGTCTCTGGAGAACTTCAAGACATGTTGAGGAGGTAATTTAGCCATTTAAATCAGCTGTGTTGGGTCAAGGACACATCTAAAACCTACAGGACACCAGCCATTGAGGCCTGGAAGTCCCTACCCGTTCTATGCTCTTGGCTTATGAACTAGATTGGTGAGTGTTTTCAGTAGTACTGACTGAAAGCTTCAGACGTTTGGGTGTGGAGTGTGCAGTACTATGCATGTACTGCACTTTAGTTTCTTTTTCTTTTCTTTTTTTTAATCACCAGTGAAGTCACAGAAGAAATCATATGTCAGATGAACTGATGAGTTCTCCTCCCAGGGCATCGCATTATGTCTTTTTGTCAGATACCATTACACACGTCTATTAGCGCTGGTGCGTTGACGCCTTGTCTGTTTTCAGAGACCTACACTGTCTGTTTCCAAAGGAGTGAGAGGAACCAGCAGTTTAATAATAATAATAATAGTTGCATTTATATAGCGCTTTTCTAGGCACCCAAAGCGCTTTACAATTCCACTATTCATTCACTCTCACATTCACACACTGGTGAAGGCAAGCTACAGTTGTAGCCACAGCTACCCTGGGGCAGACTGACAGAAGCGAGGCTGCCATATCGCCATCGGCCCTTCTGGCCAACACCAGTAGGCGGTAGGGTAAAGTGTGTTGCCCAAGGACACAACGACCGGGACAGAGAGAGCAGGGGGATTGAACTGGCAACCCTCCGGTTACAGATGAGCTTCCCATTCCCCTGAGCCATGGTCGCCCGGTGGCATGATATCTGCATGTCCCTGTTCCATAACTTTGTGCTTCACCAAAGAACACCTCGTGAGTAACTTAGACTTGCCAGTGGCTTTGACACAACTGCATTATATGATTCTACAGGAATAAGGACAGGCTGACAGTATAGTTGCTGCAAAAATAACTTGTCACTTTTTCACATGCCAGCGGCCCAATTGGCATAATTTTCACAGCTCTTCACAGTGTGATGGACACTCACACAACCTACAGTATGAAAGGAACCTTTTAGTTCTTTGAAAAAGTCTAAAATGACTAAAATGAAGGTGTCTTGGATGTAAATGCAGCTAGTTTATACCTAAAAAGTCGAATAAGTAAATAAAGCACGTTCTTTTGTATTTGTCCTGATTATTTTAACATGAACGGCCACAAAATTGTTAACTTATTTAGCAGGTAATTGATTGAGAGTAGCTTACCGGTAATTGTTTATTTTTGTTCAATATTTCAAAGCATTAAAACCAAGCCTGATCCTGACTGCTGGCAACTGCTATCAGAATACCAAGTTAGCTATTTTATATTCACACCAGTGTCTGCATACATGTGGAGAATTTCCATGCCGGGGAAAGCAACCGCTGCTCTGGCTGTTGTTTTTCACTCTCACAGTGACATTCCCCAGTGAATGGATGGACTGACTCCAGAGCCACAGAGGGATTGATGTGTGTGTCGGATTGTGTTTGGCATTTCTTCTATGAGTGCAATTGTTTCAATACTGATGTATTTATATTACAGCAGCCAATTTGCCCCCTTCCTAGCCATCATACTGGCTTCCTCAGGGACCGGTATCTGATAATGGCTTTTTGTCTCACCGTTGCGGCTGCTATCTGGCGCGAGCATGTTCCTTGACCAGTTGGTTTTACAGCTCAGTCTGCTGGGAAATGGGCAGTCTAAGCTAGAACTGATTCACAAAATGGATGTTTACAGACAGCTGGCTAATGAGTGCGTGTGAAATTTAAAAAACTAAAAATAAAACCAAAGTTGTCATAATTTGTGGGTTTTAGAGCAAAAGAGGAAAAGGGGGGGTATGAGTGATGGTAAGTGGTTGTTTATACTGGCTCTGTAATTACCACTCATTGTGAGAGGCTTTTTTCGTAAATAAAATGCTCTCTTGTGGTCATGACTGTGCTTTTTTTCTTGTTTAAACATTTCAAATGGTTAGAAAATCCTTGATTATATAAAAATTGTTGGGTATTGTGTTACTGCGGGGCTGACAGAGGTCAGGCGGGCTGCCTTTTGAGGCAATGATGTAAACTGCACGTGTTGCCTGCAGGGCTGCTCTCTGCTGGGTCACGCCAGTGATGTTGCGCTCAATATCAGTAGTGCACTGATTGCAGGATCGAGCGACCAGGCTGAGGTCCTATCCTCTGTCAGAGGGTGATACGGTTTCTACAGCAGGTGAACAAACAGGAAAAGAAACAGAACAAAGAAGTCCAACTAAGCACTTTAATAGTGGATATATTCTGATCCTTGCAATCCATTATATTCAGTTATACCTGTCAGCCTACACTCTAAGAAATAGGGGCATTTCAGTCCTAACAGGTAGAGTTGACATGAATGTACCCCTAAGGTTAATTGTTGGGCATCAGCATAACTATATCTACCTTTTCCACAAAGATTCTTGTGTCCCTAATGAAATGGCACATATTTGCAGCATTTGTTTAAATGTTTTAAGGTGCAGTAATGTGCCACATGCGCAAGGAATCTGGGTAAAATGTTAGCTGAATAGTGCTTCCTGCATTCAGATTGGTTTTATTTGAGGTGCTTTTGGAAGGGATACATTTAAACTCCAACTGAAAGGCACTCTCTTGAACTATAATCACATGTTTTTCCTTCTAATGGTGTGGTCATCTTTATCCTAAAGAAAATCCAACATGTTCTGGCATATAAGACTTTGTAAAGGAGTATAAATATATTTCATGAACCGCTGGACCTTTCCTAGTGGTGGTCCTTTAATAGCAGACTTCCACTTGTGGAGTACCAATAATGGCAAATATCCACCTTGGATGAGAGTGGAATATAAAGAGCACAAAAGGGTTTTAACACAAAGCTAACAATTTTTATCATATTTAAATCAAATGTGCATAAACTGCACACAATAGCACAAATCACAGATAATATGAATGAATATCAAAATACAAACTGAGTTTATAAAACTGCAGTCAAATCTGAATCAGCCATTTACACCAAGATATTTAGTGTCAGGTAATTTATAAATCCAGAAATTCATAAATTCCTTTGGTTAAAACTTCGTTGTTTTGGCTCCTCTTTACATGGAAAGAGGGATGCGGTCAGTTACTGGAAGACAAGTAGAATAGATCCAGATTTTTCACAAACTCTGTTTAACATCCTGATTAAGGTTTGTAAGCTGAAACATGTTTTTTGGATTTTTTTTGGCTAAACCTGAGCATGCGATGAGAATAAGGGCATTTAAAATTATATTTAATAAGAGGACGCCTTTGAATTCTTTGTTTTAATAATAATAATAATAATGGATTGCATTTATATTGCGCTTTTCAAGACCCTCAAAGCGCTTTACAATTCCACTATTCATTCACTCTCACATTCACACACTGGTGAAGGCAAGCTACAGTTGTAGCCACAGCTGCCCTGGGGCAGACTGACAGAAGCGAGGCTGCCATATCGGAAATGGCTTGAGACCTAGACTATTAGCAAAATGTAGCTGTTGTGTATGAAAGGTGTCCAATTAATAATGCATGTACAAATCCAGAGTGGAGCCATTTGGTAAGATCACGCAGTAACCGTAGGATAATTTCCTCTCTCATCTTCTCTTCCTTTGCTATTGAGTCTGCAGTTATACCATTAATATTATAACACAGTGCTTTATTTAAAGTCCAGAAAAATATCTCATACTATGCTGTTTCTCCCTCCCATCCTGCAGGTGGCAGCATAGACAGCGACTGTGCCTTTGAAGGAGACTACAACGTGCCCCCTCTTTCAATGACTGAGGGCATGCAGCATATTCGCATAATGGAGGGCGTGTCACGCTCTCTGCCCTCCTCCCCGCTGCTCACCCATCAGACCATCAGTGTCAGGCTGCAGCCAATGAAGAAGCTCACAGGTAAGGATGCTGCAGGTGATAGAGGAGTCACTCAGAGTGCAGGATTTGAAGTTGTTGTCATTTTCTTTTTAAACCAGAGTTCAGGAAGAAAGCCACAGCCAATAGAGACGTGGGCTAAATCTGGTTTAAATTTGCCTGTGGCTGTCCTCCCCCATAGACTCGGTGTACTAACACAGCCTCCCTTAGCCCTTCACTGTACCACTGTAGGCAGCTTAATCACAAAATCATGCATACTGAGTTAAAACTGATTTTACAAGACTAAGCAATGTTTCACCCCGATGCTTGCTGATAAGCAGTAATCATTTACTGTATTACTTGCCCCCCTAATTCTAAGTAGAAAGCAAGTGGAGCTGAGCTCGGGTTTCTGACAAACACTGTAATTTCCAATTGTTGTAATCGCCAAAGTCCTACCTAATTGACAGTGTCAAGAACAGATGATGGACTGCGAGCTGCGGTTGGCTCAGGCGTCCTTTATTGCTTTTTACCTCCTACCACTAATCGTTTCCTTCCACAGTCATCACTGACATTCAGAAAATGTGGAAAATTGCCTCCCCTCTGTTTCCTCATCAACTGCTTTATGAGTCTGTGTTGTGTTCCCTCTACTATTGCAATGGGGAGAAGCAGTTATTTTGGTACACAAGACGGTCTGGGCATCAAAGGTTACTGCTCTACTTGTGCTTTCAAAATGAGAATTGAAATATTGACAGCACAGCTTCACCCAGTATCTGTGCAGCCTCCACACAGAAGCAGAGTGGGTGTGGATGAGTTTAAAGCTCGACTCAGTAGTCACCACTAGGGTGCACCAATCTCCCAGATACTTCAGATCATTAACCGTTTCTGGTATGCCGGGGGGAGCTGTGATTTTTACATCATACAGAATGATTTATGATCTCTCCAGGGTCATCCAAACTGTGGGTTTTAAAGGGGAAACGCACATCACATAACCACATCATTTTCTCCCATTTTAACTGGGTGTGCCACACTGCTGTAGAGGACTGTGTGTGGACGGATGGAGCAGAGGTTTCTTTTTCTTTCTTTCTTTTTTTTTCTCGAGAATTAAATTTCAGAACAATCCGGCCAAATCACACTTTTCTCCCCACCTCCTCCCTCACTGTTCTGCTGTTTGAGGAGCATTTTGTGTGCTTTTCTTGGATTTGATGTTTTGTGGCTGATTCAGCCTGCTTCTAAAAGGCTTCTTTCATTTGCGTGAGTCGCAGCTAGTTTTTAGGACATCATACGAATCTGTAAATATGAATGTGTGTGTGTGTGAGAGAGAGTGTTTGTGCGTGTGGTTTTTTTTTGTTTTTTTTTTCATGACAGCCAAGAATAGCTTGATTAATGATGCACGGCGCTGTCTCATTTGTACTATTCTTATTTTGTGGCTGACGTAGGGAGAGGTCTCTTTGCAGTGTTCTCACACATGTCATCATTTGGCTTGATGTATTACACCAGTCAGGTGCTGCTTGTTGTGTGTTTGGGGATTTTCAAACTTAGTGATGCTTTTTAAACAGATTTTTTTCTATGGATTATGTTTCATAATTGACTCATTTCACTACACTTGTCACCTTAAGTGAACATGTGTTGTAACTTTCACTAGGATTAGCTTGTGCTTATCTGTATGGATTTGTGTCATATCTCTTATTGTCTGTCATAAGGTGGTGTCTATTTAAATGGTGAAGTCACGGACAAAATATATAATTGCTTTAATCCAGATAAAGGTTTTTGCATTAAAAAGGGCTTATATATGGTATGTCCAGTGGTTATTCTTCAAATCACATGTCAGTATGACTTTACAGCACTTACAGGACCAAAACGGCCTGTGAGTGAAATGACAGCATGCACAAAAGCCCTCAAGTGCCCATTGTCCTTCAAGCCCTCAAAGACCTGTGTCTGCTCTCAAGTGTCATCCACCAGCAGACTGTATTTGAGCTCAGTCTACCCAGCTTTGTCGCCCTTTAATTAATTCAACGCAGCACCACTTCCTCCACAGCTTGACGGTACTGAGCTTGTGTGCGGTGTTACAGTCACAGGCCTGAACCCCTCCCGTGCCACATATTGCAGAGGTGAGAGAAGGGAGTGCGCTAGAGAGCAAACAGCAGTAGGTCTAAAGGGCTAAAGCGCTTTGATCCCCCCCGGTGGTCTCCCCCAGTCACAGCTTCTATCTGCCCTTGTTTGTAGCTCCTGATTGGCCCTAGGGGGGCAGAATTGTGATGTTTGTGAAGACTTGAGTTATTCAACCTTGTAAAATAGCAATGAAATTTCTGACCTTTTCAGAGAATCCTTGACTTTCTGATTGAATCCCCTCTGCCTCCTTGAAGACTCTTGAAGGGGAACTTCTTAGACAGATTTTTCGAGTAGGAAGAGATGCAAACAGGCACTGCGTAGTCAGTTTTTCATGTAATCACTACTGGTTTTCTGTGGACTTGGAAGGAATGCCACAATTCTTCACCCTATTGGTCAAAAAAGTATGAAGGTACTTATGAGATGGAAAGATTAGCTGATACATTGAACAACATAGTCCCACATGTCTGTGGTTTCTAATCTTCTTACAATGCAGTGTTATGTCATGAAACCTTGTCTTGCTAAGTGGCATGCATTGTCATGACTTCCTTTTAGTTGTCTATATTAAGGAATAATCTATTTTAAACCAATGTGCACAGAAAGGTCTAGGTTATTGATGTTCGTTTAGTGAATTACTTAGAGTTTGGCATTGAGAGGTAATCCACTTGATGTATGAGTAAGGCACTGTGTGCTAAACTACAACTACTAAACGATAGGAAAGATTCTGCAGCAACTTAAGGAAAGAAAATAATCTACATTTTTGTTTTATCATTACAAACCAGTAACATCTTTAAAACCTGCTGAAAATGTTGGATCTCAGCACCTTTAGGCTGCTTTCTCTGTGTATCTGATAACATCTACTGCTACGGTTGGCCACACTGAGTGTTAGATTACAGCAACCACTCAGTGCTTGTTCGTAGCAAGCAGTTTTACCTGTCTCCTCAATATTTGGTTTCAGCAACCACCACTAATACCATTGGCAGTCCTCGATGGCTTTGGTCTCCCTCACAAAACTTGCTCATGATTGGATCAAGGAACATGACAAAGAGCCCAAACATTCAAATTCTTAAGAACCAAATCTGATAGAGAGTCCATGAAATGCACCACAATACTCCTGATCGCCTAAAAAGACTCTGTCGGTGGTTTTTATGTTGTGCCTGAATCCCTACACTATATAAAAGATTTAGCCGCCATGGCATCACACACTGTTTTTAACTCAGTGTTGGCAAACATTGAGTTAAAATTCTCAACAAATGCCAGCAAGCTTGGTTAGAAAGCTACACCCATAATGGATCCACACAGACACACAAATCTGCTATTAGCGCTAAGTCATGAAAGTCCTATTATTTCACTCTTAAGGACTGAAGCAGAAACTTCTTGGATGATCTGTAGCTAATAGCAAACCATATAATTCCATTAAAACCTTCTAAAAAGCTTAGCAGCCGAAACATCACTTTAAATTGGAGAAAGTGATGCCTACAACTCCCTGTTTCAGTTTCTCTTTCATAAACTGTGGCCATGAATATGTGGCCAACAAAAACAAAAAAAAGAAAGAAATAAGGATGGGGGGCAAATACTTTTTCACAGAACTATACTCTGGTTTCATTTTTAAGCCCTGAAGGTTGGAGCTTGTTTTAATGATATGTTTTGCATGAAAAAAAATCTTGATAAAGTAACTAGTAACTGCAGCTGTCTGATAAATGCAGGGTAGTGGTAAATGCTTAAATACAAGTACCAGATATAAATACACTTAATGGTAGTACTTTAAACCACTGACAGGGCTCATCTGTCCCTCATCTTCATGTGCGTTTGACAGATTTCGCGTCCACATTGTTTATGTTTTCTATTTTTAGTCCTCTGTTGTCTCAGAATTGGAGTGGCTCATTGTCGCACTTATCTCTTAGTGGCTGATTGTTATGAGCTGTAATCACTGATTGCTTATTTGTGCTTTAATAAACACCTCACTCAAGTGTCAAGCTCACCAGAGATGTCGCCCCAGCTGATTGATTGGCCCTGCTCCACTCAGAAACATTTAAGAGGAATTATTTCAACATCTCTCCCCAGATTACACTGCTTTCCCCTAATTAATGGCTACAATCAATACAATTACTGCCTCCCCATGGATTGCAGCATAAAAGTGGAAAATTGCATTTGGCCTTAAAACCTGAGAAAAGCCTTGATTTAATTATACAGCCTAATTTTTCACCCACTTTTGCTTCAATTATCACAGTGATATGAGCATATCTAAAATCTATTGTCTCTGTGGTGCTCACAATAATGGAGTAATATGTGAATAAGTGGGAATGCACTACACTTAGCTAACTTGTAAGCGGTCACTGATGTAGGCATGAGTAGTGGTCAGGGTTATCAAAGCACAGTGTGCAGGACTGCTTAGTCAGGTTTTACAGCTCATGGTGTGGGTGGTCTTAAAGAATCCGCATTAAAACAGTTGAGCAGTTGAGCTCTGCTAAATTGGCTACTTCTCACAAATGCTGCATCTCTGTTTTTGTTTTTTTGTCTTCTTTTAAATTTATTTTACAGTGGAATCGTTCAAAGAAAAGACACGCTCCCTTGTTGGGGGTTTTCCTGCAGAGATACAGCAGACTGCAATAAGATTATGGTGTATCTGAGTCATGCTCAGCAGAATCTTTTTTATTATTTTTTGAAGTATTTGGGGAATGTGGACGAGGCTAGCAGAGGAAAGCATGACACAAAAATAGTTCCATTTGATTATAAAAGCGATTTGTGGCCACCTGCTGAGCTGTGAAAATATTGCAGGAAAGCCACAAGAAGTAGTTCAAACTACAATCCAGCCCCAAGAAGGCCTCTGGGTCCACCTCCAAGGCACAATGACCACCCCCACTAAGAAATGGGACTGATCAGTGGAAGCCAGAGAGAATCAAATTCACCCAATTGGTTTTTCAAGGAGGAATGATATC